CAACCTCCCGATCCGCCCTGCTCTGTGCATGACAGGGGGCGGCGCCCCAACTCCCCAATCAGCCCTGCTCTGAGCCCGACCAGGGGCTGCACCTAGGGATTGGGCCTGCCCTCTGCCACCCAGGAGCAGGCCTAAGCCAGCAGGTCATTATCTCCTGAGGGGTCCCAGACTGCGAGAGGGCACAGGCCGGGCTGAGGGACCCCCCTCCCCCTCGAGTGCACAAATTTTTGTGCACCGGGCCTCTAGTTATAATATAAAGTAAGGGAAAGAAAAAAGTCTTACCTGACATTATCAGAACTTCCTGAATTAAACTTTGGAGCTGGAATATCTTCCTTGAAGTAGTCCTCAGAGAAGGCAGGAGTTGAGTATGTGAACCCACTGTTTCCTGTCAATATGGCATTTAGTGGGATATAGTCTTTGCCATCCTAAAATACCAAAGATAGAGCTGTAAGTGTAGAAATTTCTACTTCAACCAATTTTTGTGAAGCATTATGTCAGTTTCAACTATGTTATATCTATAATCTTATTGTGTTTTGGAAAGATAATTCTGTAAAAGATAATTATTATTATTTTTTTTACTGCTAATCTCAGTTATTAACAGCTATTAAAAGAACAAAACACCCCCTTGGCTTACACCCAAAAAGGCATTTGGCTTCTGGTATTCTAGATAGCTTTACCTGTTGTACATTGGCTTGAAGCAAATCGCCTAGTTTTTCCACAAGTTCTGCGAATCTTGGCCTTTCTTTGGGGTCTCTGTGCCAGCAGTCCAGCATGAGCTGATAGCTGTTGGGTGAAAGCATAAGAGCAATGATTGGAGAGAGCGGCGATGATACAGCTGCCCCACATGCTGCACCCCAAAGCGAAGGTGTTGTCATATATATGATGATTAGGCTTCTTGTATGATATGTGCTTTTATTTGTAAATTTTGTTACGCAGCACCAACACATAAATGGCTGTTTGGGCCAGGTCCTGCTGGTGGGGAAAATATGTCCTCAAAGGCAGGTTAAGGAACCCTCTCCAGAGCCCATCACAACCCTAGTTCTTTGGAGTGCAGAGTGGAAGGGCGTTCTGGAAAGAAGCAGAGCTGCGGAAAGGAAAAACCACTGTTCGCTGCACTTAGATATGAGGTGCAGTACTTCTCCCCTCACTGTCAAAAGCAGGACTTTTTAAAGGCAAAACGTTAACATAGACACAAATATCAATGGGTGAATAGTTTGCAGTACTTGTTATATTATGAGGCTGTAACAGAGGCTGCTTGGACTTTTTTAAAAATATATTTAAGAGAGGAAGGAAGGAGAGAAAGATAGAAACATCAATGATGAGAGAGAATCATTGATTGGCTGCCTCCTGCACTGGGGATCAAGCCCACAACCTGGGCATGTGCCCTGACCAAGAATCGAACCGTGACCTCCTGGTTCATAGGTTGGTGTTCAACTACTGAGCCACACCGGCTGGGCTGGCTTGGACTTCTTAATAAGCATGTGGCATTTCCAAGTCCTCGGAGTTCTGGTGGAAGCTGATGGAGAAGGCCCTGTGTGTAGGACTCATATCACTTCCAAAAGGTGGCAGTCCACCTGAGTGTGTCCTTGGACTGTGCACAAGTTCCTTGCCTGTGGCTGATTTCCCCTGTCCCCAGCACTTCAAAGGCTTCCTACCACTGAAGGCAGAAATATAGGCTGGGCTTCTGGGCATGAAAACATTTGTCTTGCCCTAACTGGTTTGGCTCAGTGGATAGAGCATCGGCCTACGGACTGAAGGGTCCCAGGTTCGATTCCGGTCAAGGGCATGTACCTTGGTTGCGGGCACATCCCCAGTAGCGGGTGTGCAGGAGGCAGCTGATCAATGTTTCTCTCTCATTGATGTTTCTAACTCTCTATCCCTCTCCCTTCTTCTCTGTAAAAAAATCAATAAAATATATTTAAAACAAAACAAAACATTTGTCTTAATATTACAGAAGCTGAATCTTGTTCTGGGATTTCAATGTCAGCAGGTTCCTCTGCAATTCTTCTCCTCTGACATCTTAGAAATGAAGGTATTGGGCTCCTCTCTTGGTCGTGTCTGCAGGGACACAAGCCAGCAGTCTGCGCACACACACTGCCTTAAGGATTTATTCTTTTTGGGCTCTTTGCTCTCTCCAAGAGATGTTTATTGTAAGTAATCTCTTCTCTCAGGAGATCATCTGGACTAGAGAGAACTCAGACTGTGTAGTATCGAAATCTGAATGGGCTCGAAATTTGGAACTGGGCAGGGACCTCATCGCCACACCCTTTACCTAGCCCAGGGCCTGGCACATAAGCACTCAATAAAGATTTGCTGAAGGAAGTCAGACTGGCCTCCGGGAAGAGAGAGCACCTGAGCACCTCCAGCGCTCCTCTGACCTCGCCACTCCCGGCTGTGTGCTTTCAGGTGCACCAACAGCTCCAAGTGTCTCGTAAGGATATCCCTGTTTGGCTTCAAAGCATATGAAGTGGCTGGTAAAGACAGTAAGAGTATAGGAAGGTTAAAAAAAAGAAAAGAATAATGTCGGTGGGGGTAGGTAAAATAAAGAATAAAAGGTGGAACTACAGACAAAGTTAATATGCAAAGTTTATATCATGATTCCCAGGTAACTGGCAAAAAAGAAGATGCAATCAATTACATGATGCACATAAGCCAGCAGTTCAAAACAAACCAGGTACTTGGAAGTCACATGGCCATTCCTAGAACTGAAATCTGAAAGGAGGCTCTCCTAGACGCCTCTCAACATCATTACCATCTAGGTAATAATGACTTTGTGGGCCCGCCTTCTTTATTTATTTACTAGAGGCCCGGTGCATGAAATTCGTGCGGGGACTAGAGGCCCGGTAGGGCGGCGGGGGGGTGGGGGGGGAGTCCCCTCAGCCTGGCCTGCACCCTCTCCAATCCGGGACCCCTCAGGGGATGTCCAACTGCCGGTTTAGGCCCGATCCCTGTGAAATAGGGGACTGCTAGCTTCTAACCACTGGCCTTCCTGCCTGCCTGATTGCCCCTAACCCCTCTGCCTGCTGGCCTGATTGCCCCCTACTGGTCCCCTGCCAGCCTAGACGCCCCCTAACTGCCCCCCTGCCAGCCTGGTTGCCCCCTAACTGTCCGGAAGGAAGTTGGACATCCAGAAGATGTCCAGTCAACCTGGTCTAATTAGCATATTACCCTTTCATTAGTATAGATCTTTATTGTTGACATCCCCCATTTTCTCCCATTGGACACTATCTTTTACTGTTGGCCAAAGCCTTAATAGCAAAAAATGCCATTCAGTAAAAACAATTCTGAGAAACAAAACAGTGTAGTCCAGGTATACAAGTCCTAAGGTTCTGATTTAACCCAGGGATAAAATTCTAGGTGCCCAGGGGAATGGTGGCACCATGTGGTCTTCAGACATCCTCTGCTTTCCTCATAGTTGGATACTGAGTTTCTGTTTTCTGAAAAGTACCCAGTAAAGCAGATGTCTGAAGTCTCTGAGTAAGGGATAGGAGCTCATAAAATAACTTGTCTGAATTGCCAATTCTCCTACTTTTGTCCAAACCTATGGGTCAAGGCTCTTCTCAGATGACGACTCTGGTTCCCTCCCACCCTTTGTTTCATCTACTGCACCTATTCTCCTAACTCCCAGGGGGTGTAGAGTGGGTCAGCTGGTTCTGAGAGCTTGTGAAGGCCCTTTGGTGAGTGTGGTGTGCGGACCAACGTTGGGTCCCACTGCACTGGGACTCCATTACAGACAGAGGAGACTGGGAGTGAGGAAGGGAACTCTCACCCTGGGCTGTTGTCCCTGCTCTCTGGGAGGCACAGGACAGGGCTGCAGCTCTCACGGTCCCTAACAGTTCCTGACCAGCAGTGCCTCAGAGCAAGGGCTCAAGGCACTCATTCAGGCAACCTGGGCCAGCCTGTAGTGACCGAAAGTCTGAAGTAGCCTAAGACAGTCTGCACAGTCCTATGGGAATCTCATTTTCAGGTAAGTTTATATGTGTTACTCACTAAGACAGGTGGAAAAATATATACTACAGAGACAGGTGGTCACTAGAAAAAAGCCCCATGCTGCATGGGCTGTGGCAGAGGCTGGCCTGCTCCCCTCTGGCCACGTTCAGGCCCAATCGTCCAAGGCTCCTTTATCTCTAGCAATAAACAGAGTCTCAGGGGCCGTTGGGAGAACATTAAACATATCCATAGACAACCTACGAAAGGAAGCCAAAGCAAGAAAGACTTGAACTGGGAAAACAGAAAGGGGGCCTGAGACAGGGAGGATGGGTCAGAGGCCCCGCTTGCTCAGCCAGCAGCACCTCACACTGAGCAAGCAGCTGTTGGGGATGTGACAGTGAGCAGGGCTCTTCTGGGTTGTCTGTGCTGAAACTAGCAAGAGGGACCACCTACAACTCTTGCTGTTTTGTATTTTGATTCTTGGTTTCTGATTTCTAGTTTTCACTTCTCTTTCCTAAAATTCAATACAAATTATCTCAGCAAACACCAAAGGAAAGGAAAAAAATTAACTGCTTATTCCCTTATTGACAGACATCTGATTAAACAGGCTCTGGGCAGAAAACCAATGACTTAGCGTTGAACAGTTTTACATCTCTAAGTAAACAGGTTTTAATAAAGTGAAGGGACACCAGTTGCGCCCAACCCAACAGCCCTTCTTGGAATAAGCCGGGGGCAAGGGGCCTATGGGAAGAGCTTCCAGTCTGAGCCATCACCCAAGCTCTCGCGTGCATGCCACTTTAAGCCAAGTTCAGGTCACAGAATCCCAGATCTGAGAGCTGTACTCCGTCCTCACCCCGGCAACTTTCAAATGCTTCAGAATGGCTAAGGTTGAATTCTGTCCTTCTGAACCAACACTTCACGAAACTGCATCTTACTTTTCATCATTTCTGAAATAAATCCTTAGAATTAAGGAACAATCCTTCCTCTGGCTGCGGGGGGTACCAGGGCTACCTGGGAGACTTGAAGGTTTGGGAAAGTCGAAAGTCCAAGGGAGTTTTTAGTCCACAGCTGCTATGACTTTGTACCTCTACAGTTATTCTGGACCAGAAGTTGGGTTAGATTTGGAAATACACTCTGCAGATATGTAGCACAGTGGTGTGGACTTTGGACTCAGGCTGGGTTTGCTTCACTTACTAGCCATGTGGCAAATCACTTAGCTGTTCTGTGCCTTGGTTTTCTCATCTGTAAAATGGATATTATAATAGTACCTACTGTATAGCGTTGTTATGAGCATTAGGAAAGTGAATATATGTTATAAGTGCAAAGACAGTGTCTGGTACTTAATAAGCACCAAGTAACTATTACATGTTGTTTAATAATGACTGCAATTATTACTATTACTGTTAGTGATAGAGAACTCATTCTTATGATTTTCACATTATGTGAAAAGTGGAAGGAAATATTTAACTCAGAGCATGAGTGGACATGTTAGAGAAACCTTTCTTCTAAGGCATGTGGGGCGTATTCCTAATTTAGTGGTCGTGAGATCTAGGGAGACCAGCCCAAAGGACTGGCTTCTAGATTTGTTTCCTCTATTATAGCTCAGTGGTCGGCAAACTCATTAGTCAACAGAGCCAAATATTAACAGGACAACGATTGAAATTTCTTTTGAGAGCCAAATTTTTTAAACTTAAACTATATAGGTAGGTACATTGTTATTAACTTAATTAGGGTACTCCTAAGGCTTAGGAAGAGCCACACTCAAGGGGCCAAGAGCCGCATGTGGCTCGCAAGCCGCAGTTTGCCGACCACGGAGTCTTAGTTGATAGAGGACACATCACTTCACTTCTCAGAGCAGTGGTTCTCAACCTTGGCTGCACATTAGAATCACCTGGGAATCTTTTTAAAATCCTGATTTCTGGGCCTCATCCTCCAGAAATTCTGTTTCTTTGTTATGTGGTGGGGCCACAACATTAGTAACAAAGAAACAGAATTTCTGGAGGATGAGGCCCAGAAATCAGGATTTTAAAAAGATTCCCAGGTGATTCTAATGTGCAGCCAAGGTTGAGAACCACTGTCTTAGAGGTTTAGCTTCATTACTTATCACCTGCCTGCTCCTTAAGGTTGCAGGAACTGCAGAGGAGATGGTGCAGGGAAAACACAAAACCTAAGGTGCCAAATAATCTCCTTTTAAACCAGGTCTGATGTTTGCCCTCTCCACCAGTAAAAGGAAACAAGTAATAAAAAACTCTCCATGCCTTGAGCACTACAGCCCCAATGCAGCCCTCGTGGCTAATTTATGTGTCCCCAGATCTCAGAAAGGGGACTTTCTCCAACAAGGAGACCGTGTAAGGCTGCCCCACACTCTGCCTTCCCAGGCCCGAGTCCCCTGTCCTCCTCGCCTCCACCCGGGGTCTGACCTAACCTTGTCTCCAGACCTGAAGGAAAGAGACAGAGACCTTGCCCTCTGGCCAAGCCCACACTTCCTCCATTCCCTCGGACTCCTCCCCAGAGGCCATCCCAGGGCTTCTGACAGGACCCCATTGTGTGGGTGGGATGGGGAGGGCCGCCTGCCAGTTCAGGAAAGGTGGTGCCGCCCTGGGGAGGCCCAAGTCCTTGTCAGCAGCTCCACAAAACTGCAAGTGTCATCACATTCCTGTTCAGGAAGAAAGAGCATCCAAGAAAGGCAAGCGAGCCTCAAACAATGGAGGAAGCTCCACACAGTGCCTGTCACCTTCCTGGAGTCACAGGGCTGCACAGCAGGAAGCCACCGTGAGAAGCTCCAGGCAGCTGCAGCCAATTCCTAAGATGAGTCTAAAGCAGTCTTGTTGCTCAAGTTGCCTCCTGTGGAGTGTAATGACTGATTCCATCAGGAAATCCCCCGCTTCCTCTCCTACACCTCTTCCCCTGCGTTCCAAACCCACCCCCTCACTGGTCTTTAGTGAGGACAGAGGACTGGTCATAGGGCTTCTAGCACGTTGTCCCTGTGGCTGCTTACTTATTTGGCTTCCACTTTGTGAGTGAGGACAAGGTCTTACATTTAGTTCCTGGGTGGTCTGTTAGTTTTGCCTGGATTCATACCTAGAATTGAGTTTCTAACTTCAGTTCCCAGCCAGAGGCCTTGCAAAGCCACGCCAGTGGTCAGGAGAGGAAATAGGTAAGGGTGGCTCAAGGTCAGGTGCCTCACTTCTGGAAGATACTCCAGCACACTTGGACCCGACTGAGGCTAGGCAGGACTGGGATGCTAAAACTCAACAAACGTCCCCTTTCTGAGGTGTCCTGCTGGCACGAGAGCTGTCAGGGGTATGGAGGAGGCCCAGGGCTCACATTTCAGGAGTTGCATACTCAGGAGCCCTCATCCTCATGCCTTCCTTCAGGCGGCTGCAGAAGTCCTCGTCCATCTGCACTCCTGGGTACGGAGACCCACCTGCGTGAGACAATGGGAAACACAGGGCACATTATGGCTTCAGGGTACAAAAGACTATAAGGGGGTCCTTTTCCTCCCTTGAAAGTGATGGTTTAGTAATAAATTCACAGTGACTGCAATGGATCTCCACACACAGTACAACCCACACTGAAGCTCAGCAAATGCCTGCTGGTGACACACGCTTGCCTGGCTGGTCCCGTGGTGCTGGGTGTCTGATACCCCAGGTCATTCCTGTGGCTACTCCTGTCTGTTTGCTCAGGAGAGAGAGTGTCATCTGAAGGGTCCCTTCTCTCTCCCCAAAAGGAACTCTAAGGAAATCAGTCATTAGACTCATTCCTTGCGTTAATAAACTTCATTTTAAAAGGCCAAGGTCACTTGTGGATTACCCACACCTCAGTGAGGGTGATTTTAATTCACTACTTTCCTGTAAACTTCTCACAGAACGGGGCACTAGTTGCTGTGCTAGGACTGAGGGAGAGGGGCCTTGAGCTCCAGGAGGAGCTGAATGTAGGGGTGGCCTGTAGGCAGGAGTCTGTGCACCAGAGGGTCCCAGAGGGCCTAGACTTTGCCTTTTGTGAGTTTTGCTGTTCAGGATGCCCACGTAACCTTTCCTTTTAGGGGAATTCTTGGCTAGGGGTAGTAGTGAGCCAGGCCTCTAGTCTGCTCTGTTCCAGACCTCGAACCTAGTCTATCTCAGCATGTGTTTGTCTGTACTTTCTAGTGATTACTGCTGGTAGGAAGCAGCTGGGAGGTGTGCAGTGCTGGCACTGTCACTGTGGGGCCATGTGGCCGCCAAGCTGCTTTCAAAGACTGGAAGCAACAGGTGCCTGTCATCGAAAGCAGGGGAATGATTTCCACACATTACAGGAAACCAGGGATGTTACTGGGTGACTTTTATTTGTTCTAAAAGGCAAATTTTTGGCAAAGTCCAAAAGACTCTTGGCTAGACCCCACATTTGGGAGGCTTCAGAGCATCATTGTGTGTCTGCAAGCAGATGTGGACTCTGTGCACATCTGTGTGCTCGGGGCCTTGAACAAGGCTTCTAGCCACCCATAGTGGATGTTTCTGGAAGCAGAATAACTACATCCAATGTCCCCGTCTTTCATCCTGCATAAACCACTGTCCGGGACTAGCTGTGTTTACATTAGCTGCACTATCCAGGCCTCCTGCTCCTAACACTGGTTGGCTTGTGCTGGCTGGGGCCTTTCCTAGGAAACTCTGAAGGAGGCATGATGCAGGGAGGGAGGAGGAAAGGGCAGTAGGAATCAGTGTACTTGAGGAATTAGGAGAAGGGGGAAAAGGACAAAGAAAAGAGTAGCCAGACTGGTTGAATGTAAACCCGACTTCAGATCTGTACTGGTCTGACCTTGTTTGTGTCTATGTAAAGCATCCTTACTTTGAAGGGTACACACGCATGCACCACTCCTCACCTGAGATTCTGCACGGACCCACGCTCTGTGAGGGTTTTAGGTTCTTTTAAAAGCTGACCTAAAGGTTGTATCTACCCAAAGGACACTCAGCAGACATTTGGTTCTTGTCTATTTGATCTCTTCCTTCCCCCAAATTTACCTAAGGAGAAGATTTCCCATAGCAGTACTCCATAAGACCACACGTCGCTCTTGGTGCTGTAGATTTTGTCAAAGATAGATTCAGGAGCCATCCATTTCAGGGGAAGTCGCGTCTAGAAAAGGGCAAGGGGGCCTTGAGCAGAAGGACATGCAAACAAAGCACATTCAACCCAAGTGCCCATAGGGTCACTTCCCAGATAACACTTGGCCCAGAAATCATTTCCTAGAGCAGTTATGGTTTCCTAACACGGAGAAAACGCTTATAACATGCAGTTGTACTAAAAGAGAGCGGTGGGCTATGTGATTCCCATGAAGATAATTACTGTTTAGTAAGCCTCTCCTATGTGCCCAGCACGTCTTAACTCCATGACTGTAAGAAATCAGTCTCCCCCCAAACCCTGCACTCCACAGGGACCTGGAAAAGGGTGATCTGAATTGGAAGACATCCTGAAAAATCCATAATTTCCAGAAATTTTTCTTCAGAAGGAGGATTTTGAACAGCATTCTTATGTAAAAAGACAGAATTTTAAAAGTCATTAAATGGCGGTAGTGGGCAAAGACACAGGAAGGAAAGAAGGTGATAGACAGTATCTGGGAGACCATATGGCTGGTTTTCAGGTGTCCAGACACATTTTTGTTCTCTTCTTGGTAACAGGAATCCTGGTGAGTTAGGCCTTGCCGCCTTAGATGGATGGGAACGAAGTATGGGACAACGGAGAGACAAAGAGAAAAATGCAAGGGGGAGGAGCAGGGAGAGGCTGAAAGAGATACAGATGAACAGAAGAGGACAGACAGATACATAGATAGATGCCATCTCTGCAAGTCAGGGCTCCAGAAAATTTTTTTTGTTTTTTTGTTTTGTTTTGTTTTTTTTTAATAAAAAGAGACTGGAGCGGTGGCTCTCAAAGTAAAGTCCTGGGACCAGCTGTGTCAGCAGCATCTAGAAACTTGTTAGAAAGGCAAATTCTCAGGCTCCACACAAGACTTTCTAAGTGAGAATTTCTGGGGGTGGGGCCCAGCTAACTGTAGTTTAATAAGCCCTTCAGGCGATTTGTGAGCACACTGAAGTCTGAGAACCACCACTGTAGAGTAATTGGCAGGGCCCAGACACAGGCTTAAGCGCTCAGGGTGCAGGCTGAGAAGAGAGGACACAGGAGGTCACCCACAAAAGTGAAACATAACACTGTGTCCACAAACAAGCAGAGAAGAGCCAGTGTGAGCCACAGGTGAATGGTATGCATGGAAGGCGGGGTGAGGCGGGGGGCAGCTTCCTCAATAACAAGATAATACCAATACCTCCCCACCCTTTCCTGAGATATATACACCTGCTGAGTCAATCATCTGGGTTTATTTGAGGGAAAGAGTCCAGGCTGTTCTTTCCAGTGATTCCAAAAACTCCCACAGGAGTCAAAGGGAGGTGCCCAGAGCCCGGCTAAACACTTCTCAGGTTAGCCATCTCAGGCAGCACTGCCCAGAGGACAGGTACCACGCCGGAAGTGAGGGAAGAACAGAACCCGGTGAGCGGCCGTTCAGACTAGGGCCACCCCACACAAGGGCTCTCTGGGACACAGCCGTCTTGTCTCCACAGAGAGCACACGATGGTTTTCAGGGGACCACTGTCGAGGAAGTGTAAATATTTACCAAGGGCATTGGTCTGTGTTTAAAAATGATAGTGTATAAACGAGTCCAAGAAACATCAAACTGACTTACATCTCCTTTTCTCACATAATCGGGGTTCTTATAAATATCCCGGGCAAGGCCAAAATCGCAAATCTTCACCACGTTGTTCTCAGATAACAGAATGTTTCGTGCTGCCAGGTCCCGATGAATGCACTATAATAAAACAGTTGCATAATCAATGCATTTCCTTAGTCTAACTGACTAATTTCCTGTGGCTTCTCAGTGTCATTATTCTTCTTAATTTGAGGATCTGTTACACAACGGAAGCAACCCCCAGTGCACATGGAGTTACCATAAACGTGAAGCACCTCTTTACAAATAGAGGCCCCCGGAGGCCCCAAACACAAGGCAGGGCCTGCATCTGCTTTGCTACTGTTTTGCAGCACAGCACCCTCTTTGATGAAGCTGCAATCAAATTCTCCCAGGGAGCAAAACTTCCCCCCAAACTTTGGTCCTCCAGCTACAGTTCCCGGGAGGGCCCCACAGCTGGACTAACAGAACCCTCCTGGGAATGGAGTGTTCTGGGCTCTGGCCAGGGCTGCAGATATGTGGAGGGCAATGTGAAGAATGGGGACCAGGTCTGTCCGGTCAAATTTTCCCCTAGAGTTCAGTTCTACCCCCTGGTATTAAGACTTGGTGTTCTCAAAACTCCTCGCTCCTAGCAGGACAAATTCAGGCATCGGTCATGATATTTACTCTATATTTAAGGACATAAGTATAAGCAAATACTAGGAAAAGTGGATTTATAGCCAACACGGGTGTTTGTCCAATGTCAGTGTCCACATGTCCAGCCCTGGCAACGAAGAGCAACAGTAAAGAGCAAGGCTGACCTTTCTTGAAGACAAAAACTCCATGCCTCTGGCCACTTGAAAACTGTAAGAAATCAGATCTTCCATAGTTATGGGCTGCTTGTAGAAATCGTCAGAATCTGGAAAGCATTAAAACCGTAGCTGTTTGTAATGACGCTTGTTATTATGCCAAATCCCAGTTTATTGGATCAATGTTAGTAAAACATAAAACAAACCAATAAGTGGATCAGAGTTCATTTTCAAGAGCATTTGAGTTTCAGTACGAATATCAGAGATTTTTCCAAGCCTCAAGCCCATTTTCCCAAGCATGGGGGTGGGGGTGGGGGGTGTGGGATGACCCGTTAAGACAAAAAGGCTTGAGGAGAGACAATTGTACAGAGTTCCCTGTCAAAATTAGTAACTCTGTAAATAATCTTATTCAAATCTTATCTCCTCAGGACATTACCCTTCTAGTCTCCCACGGATGTTTATTAGGGTGATAAATAAGAAAAAAATTTCAGAGATGCACAGTATGTTGTAAAAATATCTCAGACTGTAGGACAGGAAGGAATTAATACCTACCCTCCTCTTCCTCCACATCACTCAGACTTTTATCTTCCTGGAAGCCGGAGCTCGCGAAGCTCTCGCTGCTGGTGACACTGTCTAGTCTTCGTTTCTTGCCTTGCTCCACATCTGGCTCCATTTTTTCTTTCTTAGGCTCCATGTGTAATGCTGCATCCTTTGAACAGACCAAGAAGGACACAGATGAAGGAGCTCCGGAACCGAAATGGAGAAGATAGTACCTCAAGTTGGCAATTGCCCGAGTTGAGAGAATGTCATTTCCACAAAATAGATAGCAAATTAGCAGCAAGGCACCTGGCTACTCCTGGGGCTGTGGAGTCTATGCTGCTGTTGGTGGGCTTCGAGCCAGCATCCTGGGTACGATAAAGGAGTAGTAACTTCAGCTGGAACTCACTGAGAGCTTACCCTGTGTGATCCAGAATCTTAAAAAAACTTAGGTATATTTTCTCATTTAATCTTTCCAACAATTCCACGAAGTAGTTACTGCTTATACATAAAGAAATAGGTTTAGAGAAGTCAAGTAATCAAAGTCACATGCAGCTAGTAAATGGCAAAGCTTGAACTCAGGCTTGGCCATCTTCAGTTTGTGCCTTTAAGCACTTTTCCCACCCCATGTGCCAGCTTATGAAAGACGGCATGAATGGCGGAAAAGCATCCCCAGAGGACTTGGGGCTTCACTTTGTAATCCCTACGAGGAGTAATAAGAGAGGACTGCAGTACCGATTTCTCTGGTTTCCTCAGGAAAGGAGGGAACATGAACATTTTTTTTCTTCCAATGCAAACAAAGATACAGTAAGACCTAACAGGGGTAGAAAAGGCCTTTCATTCTGGACAGGGCATCCAAACCCTGGTGTGTAGTCTAGCTCTTCCATTAGTGATGTGATCTTGGGCAAATCACCTTATTTTTCTGGGTTTCATTTTCCTCATCTGAAAGGCTCTATCATCCTATCATGTTCTGACTCATAGAAAAACGAGTTGTGGGTTTGGGTGTTTATGTGGAACCAGAAAAGATTTGTATCACATTTAGTAATTCAACTAACTGTGACAATAAAACCTTAGCACTCCCAGTGGCCTCATGACGGGACCAGGTAACTAGGCTCAATTCTGCTGGATGGCAACACTGAAACCAGGCCAAGGGGGCCTGGGGTTCAGTGCTGTCCCTGAGCTGCCAGCACACTGTGGCAGTGCTGGGATTGGCCAGGCTTCCTGCTCTTCCTTGGCTTTTCCTAGAAATGTCACAAAATGGGAGTGATGCCTCCACTAGAGGGCGCAGTGGGAGCAAGCAGAGGGCAGAGGAGAGAGTTTCAAATTCTAAAAGTGTAGAGGGCAGGAGGCTGCTGCCCCTGAAAAGAGACCCTCCTGTGCTGCAGGACAGGAGGCAGGCCTCTGAGTGAACAGCCACTGCCACTCTGGTGACCTACCTGAAAGCTGGTAAAGAGTATCTCCCTGAGGCAGTTAGATTTGATTCTGCTCAGTTGGGGACTGGAATTTTATTGATTACAAGACCCTCTCCAGGACAGAAGGCAGCAGGGAAGAGTGGTGGCAGGGGTGTGAGGGAGAAAAGTGCTCAACAGGCCCATTCGGGGCGCAGGGCCACGGCCACGCTCTCTGGGCAGCCTTCTTCCCGACTTTCCCAGAAGTCTCAGCCTGGGGCCTGCCTCCCAAGAACCGTAACTCAAGCTCCCTCATCTGCTTTCTGACTCTCAGTCAATGGTATTTTCAGCTTTGCTTATTGGTAACTACTTCTGTTAAATAAAGGATGATTTACTGAACTTTTGGGACTCTGTCAGAAAGCAGTGAACTTATTTGGAAAATGAAATATCCCATTTCTATTTAGCCGTTTGGGTTTTTCTTCGCCTTCTCTTTATATTGAGTTAGGTTCCAGATATGAAATATAGCCATGTGTTTTCCATGTAATACTAGGCTCCACCAACAGGGAGGTGAATCATTAAATATAGCCAGAGAAGGAAGCAAACTCTTCAAAACAAAGGACGCACAAATCCAAATGTTCCATCCTGCCCTGATCCCTGGGGTATTCTGCTGGCTTAGTTCTTCCTGAAGCCAGTCCAGGATTTCAGGACTGGTTTGCACTGCCCTCAGCTCAGGGCACCACTTTCCACTTCTTACGTTTTCTCCCCCTCCTTATCCAGTGTAGTGCAGAGAGAATCATTGGAAGGGGAGACAAGAGAGCTGGGTTCTTTCTTTCATCTCTTGGTAGGTGTGTGTCCTTAAGTCAATCACTGAGCACATCTGTACTGTGAGGGTGTATAATAGCTGATCACAAAGATCTCATTCAGCTTACAGGTTCTAATGATGGAAGGACATGGTTTAAAATTGGGGAAAATATGTCCTTGCATATAGCCTGCCCATCTGGTAGAGCATGTGTGTCTTTGGTTGGATCAAAATTTAAGAGATGAGAGACTGGGCTAGTTGTCCAGTGGTTTTTATTTGTGTGCCGCGTGACCACTCTTGCCCATGTGACAGGATAGGCACCACTCATGGGTTTTGGACACTTAATCTATTATATAGATCATACAGATCAGTGGCATTCAGTTGGACTCACCTACTCTATTTCAGTGGGTCAATGACGATGATGATAGTTAACATTCATTGAATGTTTATCTGTATGTAATTCTCTGAACAATGAGTTGGGTTCTATTATTACTTTTATTTAATAAATGAGAAACTTAAATTTAAAGAGACTGAGTAACTTGCTCAAGGTCCAAGATCTCATGAGTGATAGAAACAGGATTTAAACACAGGCAGTCTGGATGCAGAGTCCGAGTGCTTAACCCACCATACTACATGGATTCCTCACCAACATTGATAATGACCAATTAATAATATTGAATCATTGTCTGCTGAGCTTCTCCAGACCAGAGAAGGACACTGCGTTGGTGGGATGGGTCACACTGGCAAAGTTTTATTCAAGTCTTTTTCCCTACATTCAATAACCTCTTTTAATCTTGATTTGCCTTTAGAACTTGGACCCATGTGCTTCTTTTATTACATAGCCTTATTTTAGTGGATAAGGCTGGTTCAGTGCATATGTAGGGGTGACAGGTGGTGAGGGTGTGAAGAAGTGGGAGTAAGGAGAGTGGGAAGGAAAGAAAATGATTTCTCGGACTCCATCACTGGTCTATTGTTTACTGTAAAGTCACTCAGCTGATTTCTCTAATCTAATTTCTCTAATAAACAGAGACAATTACACTTGCTATCTTTATCAAACAAGTGACTAAGTGATGTGTGTGTGTCTGTGCTTATCTGGGGAGAGAGAGGGAGAGGGAGAAAGAGAGAGAGATAAAGTTATCAAGATGATTTGATAGGTGTTTAGATAGACGGCTAGCAAATTTAATCCTTATTTATTGCTCCATACACTAGGATCAAATATTCTCTGTGCTGTCTGCAAAAAGACCGTAAGAAAATTTTTAAAAAGGAGGGAAACCCAGATGTTAGTCTAATGGAAATATATAGGTTTCTCTTGCTTTATGGGGCAACAGCCTAAATGGAAAGTCATTGCTATCTTTAAGAATGTCCAACCCCTAAATTCCTTACCTTGTTGAGAAAGAATAAGTCTCGTTTGCTCTTGAGATAGTTGGACAGATTTCCATATTTGCAATATTCAACGATCACCATCAGAGGCCCTGCAGCCAAAACAACACATGCTCAGCCACACCAAGCAGGTCAGCCAGCTGCTGGCCTGAGAAGCCCCGAACCAGCTTGTCTTTATATTAGTGGGGTCTAGGGATGCAATTTTGGGTGAGAAAGTTTTTTCAATTAAAAAATTCAAAAGGAATAGGAGACAATTGGGAGTTGGGAGTGGGGAGAAGTAGAAAAAACAAAAAAGAGAAAGAACTTTGAGGAGCGGAGGGGCCTATGCCAGGGCTCTCCCTGGAACTTGCTGCCACCTTGTTTGTTAGCCACACCCTAGTGAGTAGAGGGGCCTCAAGATATTGTCACAGTAACCCCAGGATTATCAAGCAGGTCCTCCCTTCCAGTGCAGAAAATAGACCGGTTCTGTCTGGACTGTCTCTTCCCAGCCAGGTGGGGTGTCTGCACAGCCTTTGCCTCCAGGCTTGTCCGAAGGGCTAAAGCAGGGGTCGGCAAACTTTTTTGTAAAGGACCAGACAGCAAATATTTTAGGCTTTGTAGGCCATACAGCTCAGTGCAGCCCTTGTAGTGTGAAAGCAGCTATAGATGACAATACAACCAAATGAGTGACGGTGCTGCAATAAAACCTCATGAACATATAAATTTGAATTTCATATAATTCTCACAAAGTATTGTTCTTTTGAGTTTTTCCCCTCAACTATTTAAAACGGCCAAATTAATCTCACAGGCTGGCCCCATGGTTTGCCGATTCCTGGTTAAACAGAAGCAAGAGGGTTGGTAAGAAAAACACACCCCAGTGCAACTCGGTCTCCAAGTGGTGCCCCGAAGGCTGTGTCCGCCTCCTCTGGCACCTGCGCTCCCCACTGCGTCCCCCATAGCCCCGGCAGGCCTGAGACCTGCTGCGAAGAGCAGCTTCCGGTTCCGGTTCCGGTTCCGGTTCCGGGTGACAGCAGGGTGATCCTGGAGCAGTTCCGCGTGCTGGGAGCGCAGCTGCGTGGGTTCCTTGAGCCCCAGGGCGCAGGCTCCCTAGCCTTCCAGGCGCACTGAGGCCGCCTGCTCAGCAGAGGGGTGCTCTGTCTCTGTCAGGGGTGGGCATGTTAGAAGGCCTGACAGCACCTCCTCTGCCCTCCGGGACGGAACGGGAAGCTGCTGCCACAGGTTGTATGTCACCCACCATGAGGAGGAGCCTGCAGTCCTTGCCCGCAGGAGGGGCGTCCGCCCTGAGGCCGCTGCACCGAGCTCAGAGGCACAGGTGAAAGGGGTTCTCTGATCAGCCCTGGTCAGTTTTGAAGGTGACTTTGGAGGAGGTGACCAGAGCTGGGCTCAGTGCAGAGGTTGCACATTCCTTTGAAGCTTCACCTGAACGAATGAGTGTTCCCGAAGACCTTTCTATCCTCCCCTATGGGAAGGTTAGTGCTTCGCTGTCTTTCCCTTCGGAACCTTTAAATTAACTGCACAGGGAAGGCATTTCTAGGATGGGACGCCCCCTCCCCTTTTATAAATGGAAAAACTGATTCCTCTGGACCTTTTGAAAGGCCATTTTCTAGGAGGTGAGGAGGAACAGGGGTGGGGAGAAGAAGCTGTATGTTGGAGAAGTCTGCTTCTAGCATGTGAGCCAGACATGGAGCAGCCCTATCCCGTCTCATTTACCTCCTTGCTTGGTACAGGCTCCCAGCAGGTTGACTACATTCAGGTGGTGGCCAATGTGGGTCAGGATCTTGAGCTCAGTCATCAGAGCTTTGTACTCGCTGGCTGTGGCCCCCTCTGTGTGAGAAGCAAGGAAGAGTCAAGGCGACAGGACAATGAGGCTCTTTCCGCCGGAAGCGGCGTTCCTGCCCTCCATGTTTGTCAGTGCTCAGCCTGTTGCTTCATTAACTTCCCCACATTCTGCAGAAAGGCCAAGTCTCCAGACTGTTTTCATTACTCCCACCCTCCTGAGCCAACATCCTTTTGATTACAGTAAGGCCCAGAGTGGTGGTGGGGTTAGTCACTGCACATTTCCTCTCTGTGGACCTAGGCCTGCTCAGTAATGTGCTGACTCAGAGCAGGGCACCTTGTGAAAATGCCTTCCAAGGACTTCCCTCCATCAGAACCAGGCACAGCAAGAACCTTCCAGCAGGGATGTGCCCACAGCTTACCTCTTTTTCTCATTTTTTCCCTCTTTGAGGTGTTACAAAGAAGGAGCACAAATGGCCACAAGTGACCCCTCCCCCCCCTTTATAAAAATCTTTGCAATGTGTTATTTTCTCCCTATAACCTTTTTCTCCCTGGAGTCCACAGGGTTATCTCAAGTTGTGAGGATCCATAAGCATCTGACTTCAATTTCATTCTCAGAAATAAACAACATCAGTCTAAGAATTAACAGAGTCTAAAGCCTAAGTTTGTTCTGTCTGTTTTTATTAGTTAATTTCTAGGGCATTTAAATATTTTAAGTTATTTTTAGAAATACAAAGTTGTATAATCTTGCTGTAAAACATTTCAACAGTATGATGTATATAGAGTAAAAAGTGAAAGCCACTCCAGCCCACTTAACTTTTTAGAAGTAACCACTGTTAATCTTCTGGAATTTCAGACCTTTCTATGCTTTTATAAAAAATATATATCCAAAGATCTTTTTTTATTTACATAAGTGGGATGACATATATATGGGATTATATACATCTCTATATATGGACAGATATAATTTGCTTTTCCTTCTTTTTAATATGTCAGAGACTCTTTCCCTCCTTTTTAATTGGTTTATGGCATTCCTAACATATAGATTGTTTAAAGTTTTTCCCCATTAAAAACAATGCTGTAGCTCGGCAAGTGTTGCTCAGTGGTTGAGCGTTGACCTATGAACCAGGAGGTCATAGTTTGATTCCCAGTCAGGGCACATGCCCAAGTTACGGGCTCAATCCCCCGTGGGGGACATGCAGGAGGCACCAATCAATGATTCTCTCTCATCATTGTGTTTCTATCTTTCTCTCCCTCTCCCTTGCTCTCTGAAATCAATAAAAAAGTGTATATTGAAAAACACACAAATAATGCCGTAGTAGACAGCCTGTGTGTAATCTTTGTACACATGTGCAAGTATTTCTGTAAGATAGTCTTGGAATGGGTCAGAGGATATGCATGTAACATTGTGGTAGATACCGATACGGTATTTCTTAAGTACAAATCATTTTTTAATAATAGTTGAACTTTGGAAGCCTTCCAGTGAGGTTGGGTTTGGCTCACAGGAGATTCTCAACAAATATTTGTTAAATAAATAAAGAACATGATTACTGTTCTCATTGCAGATACGGGCATAAGGCCCCAAAAGGTTAAAGGTTTTGCTCAAGGGCACTTTGAAAGAGCTTCTGACTCATGGCCTTTATTTGACATTCTGCCTTTTCAATTTCTCCTAGAAACAGATGGCCAACCAATTTAAAAACAAGAAAGCTGGATGAAAATGGTTTTTAGAAATTTTGTATAGTGGATGATTTGGTGGCTTAAAAAAGATAAGCATTTATAAAGATATTACACATACTATTTCTGTATTACATAGAGTAGATTCTTTGGGCCTTTAAGAAATATCAGGTCAAAATTTCTCTTTTCAAACTCATCAACCCTTCATGCACTTATACCCCTTTAGCACAGCCGACTTACCTTGCCCAGAGACAGAGTGTGGTAGTGAGCAGGGAAATAGGACCAGCTGAGGAAGCAGATGCTTCCAGATTTAGTTCCAGTGTATCTCAAGGTGGGATACTAGCTTGCCTCAGGATTTTGGAGCAATGAACCATGTTTAGAAGGCAGCCAGCACCTCTTTGGTAGCACTGTGGTGTGGGGGAAAGAGCACTGCCCTCAAAACTACAAGACTTGCACTCAAATCCTTACTTATACACCGGGGAGCTGTGTGGCCTTGCAGAGGCTATTTCATCTTTCTGGGCCATTATTCTTTATCTGAAAACTGGGATAATCATATATACCTCACAGGGCTATAGAGAGAGGTGACATCAGAGCAATGATGGTGTAAGAGCGCCTCTTTTCCTCTCCCCCTGATATTTCAACAAGTTAATCACCTATAATTCAATGAAGAAGTCCCTGCTCAACACAGATGCATGCCTGAGAGACCTGCACACTGAAACACCTAAAGGTGGGCATTGGGGAGGGGGTAAAAGGGAAGATGAGAAGGGAGGAAAGCACAGAGTTGGCCAAGGACAAGGCCATAGATGCAGCCCTGCAGCACAGCTGGGAACTAGCAGCCTGGCCAGGAGAGGGGAGAAAGCTGGTGGTGGAGGTAGCAGGCACTTCCTTCAGCCTGGAAGAACAGAGAGCAGGGCAATCTGTAAGCTGTGAGCTGCAAGCTTCCAGTAGCAAGAGAGGACATTGTCTGAGTTGTGTGGTTGCATGCGAGTGGTGAGAGAGTACAGTGTCTGAATCTTGGGCATGCAGCGAGTAGGGCTGGAGTTACTCACGTGAGCAGCAAGAGTGAACACTGAGTCAACAGATGCCCACCCTACAGAGCAGTGGGTGCTGGTATGAGGCTCCCCACTGCTGGGCCTGGTGGTGGTGTTTCAGACAAAGAAAGGAAATCACAGAGCCTTGCTGCTGCTTAGACTCCCCAAATTTCCCCCCCTTACCTTCCCCCCACCCCCCACCATTGCCCATGGAGTTGGCTTCAGGAGCATATTATCTGTAAACCAAGCGGTGTTTCAGTAGAATTGCTGTTTCCCCCTGTGACTGAACCTCAGGAGGGGGGGGGGCGGTGCTTGGGCCAGAGATGCGGAGGTCAGGGGTCACCATTATGGTGAGGGCAAAACAAATCCCACCCACAAGCAGTCTGGGGTACTGCCCTCTGGAAGATGCAGAGGCTCAAATCTGGTAGAGCATAGGGGTAAACATCTTGCAATTCAGCGTCACCTACTGGAACATAGGAAAAAGACCTCCCCAGAGATAAATGTGAAAACCAAGGACGGCAGCAAATACCATGAAGAACCACATAACGACAATGACCAGAAAGAAATGAAAGATCCCCAGAAAGTAGGCTGGAAAACATGGAATTACGTGATATAAATGATAGAAATTTCAAGATTGCAATTCTGAAATTACTCAATGAAATGCGAGAAAATACTGACAGGCAATTCAGTGCACTCAGAAAACAAATCAATGAACAAAATGAACATTTCTCCAAGGAAATTGAAACCTTAAAAATGAATATATCAGCATTCCTGGAAATGAAGCAGGCAATTGAGGAGATTAAGAGTGAGCTGTTGAGCATAGAAAACAGAACCAACCAATTAGAGGAAAGAACTAGTGATATTGAAGATAGGAATCAAGAAATAACACAGAAGGAAGAAGAGAGAGACCTAAGAATAAAGAAAAATGAAAGAGCTCTACGAGACCTCCTGACTCATCAGAAAAAGTAATATCACAATCATAGGCATTGTGGAGAAGGAAGAGAGGGAACATGGAATGGAGACTCTGTTAAAACAAATAGTAGATGAGAACTTCTCAAATCTATGGAAACAACTAGATCCTCAAGTCCAAGAAGCAAACAGAACACCTAGTTACATCAATCCAAAGAGGCCCTCTCCAAGGCACTTGGTGAAAAGCTGTCAAAAATTAATGACAAAGACAAAAGAACACCTGCAGACCAGATTCACCAATTGTTACTATTTTAACCCACTCATTTTATCATATAGGATGGATCCATCTGTATCATTGTTTCTGAACCATTTGAGGGTAAGTTACATGCATAGGTACTATAGTGTTCATTTCCTAAGAATATTCACTTATGCAATCACAGTAGTGTTATCAACTTCAGTAACTTTAACATTGGTTCAATACTTTAATCCATCATTCTGATTCCACTTTATCAGTGGCCCCAATATTTTCCAGTACAGAATCCAGCCCGGGGTCAGGACTGCACAGAGTTGTCACGTCTCTTTGAGAGCCTTAGTAAGTAGATCCAGCTTTGTTATCAATCTCTCCTTGTCACTGGGCACTCAGAATTCACCTGTAAACTGAGATTGTGGCAACTGCCCTACCCATCTCTTGGTGAGTAAAGGCACTTTAACAATCTAAAAATGAATAAATAAAATAAAATAATGACAAAGAAAAATTTCTCAAAGCAGCCAGGGAAAAGAAGGAAGTGACCTACAAAGGAAAACCCACCAGAATTTCATCCAACTTCTCAGCAGAAACTCTACAAGCCAGAAGAGAATTGAACCAAATATTTAAATGTCTAAAAGAGAGAAATTACCAGCCACAAATAATATATCCAGCAAAATTATCTTTTAAATCTGAAGGAAAATTAAGGATGTTCCCAGATATACAGAAGCTGAGGGATTTTATCATCAGAAAACCCCCATTGCAGAAAATACTCAAGGGAGTTATTCTACCTGAAATAAAGAACATAAGGTCACAACTCTATGAGTAAGATCACCAAAACACTTACAGCATAAACAGGATACTTTGTGACAACAAAAATATGCAAAGGGAAGGGGGAAAGTTCTGAACTGGCAAAGGAAGATGAAGAGCAAATGCACTCAAAATGGAAAAAAACTATGGTATATATGCAACTTCATTTTTTATAAACCTAATGGCAACCACACACAAAAATCCCCCAAACAGGCATATAGCTTAAAAGAAGAGGAAACAGAGAAAGGTGTATGGAACACCACCATACAAAAACAACAGTCAGAAGCATAAAGGAAAAGAACCAATGGAGGCACAGAGCTACCAGAAAACAAAAGATAAAACGGCTATAGGAAATTCTCATACATCAATAATTACCCTAA